ACTACACCTAGACTTAGAGAAATGTGCTTTTAGTATTAAGGAGGTACACTACCTAGGCTATATTGTTAAGGCAGGTAAATTACTTAGACCTAACCCTAAAAAGCTTAGGGCAGTATAGGAATAGGAATCCCCTAGGAATATAAGAGAGGTAAGGAGTTTTCTAGGTTTTACTAACTTCTACTATAATTTTATCGCAAAGTTTTCTAAAGTAGTAGCGCCTTTAAACTAACTAACTAGGAAGAACACCCTATTCTAATAGGGAGAGGAAGAATAAAGTATATTTAATGCACTAAAAAAGGCGTTTATATTAGGACTAGTATTAATATAATAGGACCTAGCTAAAGAAATATTATTAGAAGTAGACTATTTAGGATACGCTCTTAGGGGTTGCTTATTATAAAAGGTTAGGGGCGTTTAGCGCCTAGTTGCTTACTACTCTATAGCACTAACGCTAGAGAGATAAAACTACACTATATATAACAAGGAATTGCTTGCTATTATTAAGTGTCTTAAAAGTTAGTTAGTAGAGTTATAGAGCGTTTATAAGCTATTTATAATATTTATAGACTATAAAAACTTAGAGTACTTTACTAGCCTTTAAAGCTTAAGCAAGTAATAGTGCTACTAGGTAGAGGAACTTTTAAAATATTAGTACATCCTATAGTATAGACCTAGCTATCTTATAGGACAACCTAATACCTTAAGTAGGCAACTATAAGATTTAAACTCCTCTAAAGCAACACTATAGTTAGTAATGCGCCCTAAATTAATTTAGGTTACAGTATTAGAAGTAGAGGAGGCGTCTAAGTTACTAAAGGGCGCTAGCCTCTTTGCTAACCTATATATATAGATACTATAGGACAAAGTAGTACTAGAAGATAAGACATACTAAGTATATCTTAATATAGTTTAGAAAGGCGCTAGGTCTTTCCTAGTTTTAGCTAATATAAAGTAATAGATTAGGGACTATATAATTAGTGCACATAGCACTTTACTTTAGAGGGGTGTTATTTAGTTACTAATATAGGAACCCCTTATAACTACTATTATATAGCAAGCACATAAATTAGGTTTAGTAGGATATCTAGGAAAGAATATAATATTTTAAATACTGCGCTATAACTATTATTAGGATAGAATATTAGAAGATATTGCGTAGTATATTTAGAATTACTATTATTATAGTGCTTATATCTCCTAGAAGCGCTAATAGGGTCTATTATAACCTATACTAGTTATGTTATAATACTAGTCCTAAATATCTATAGATTTTATAGTTAACCTACCTATAAAAGATAATAGTAAACCCTAGTTCCTATTAGTTATTACTAACAGATTATCTAAATATATTTAGCTTAAAGTAACAGTCTCTATAGTAGCTAATTATTGTGCAAGAATCTTCTAGGATAACTAGTAGCAGTTCTAGGGCTTCCTATCCTCTATTATTACTAACTAAGGCTTTAACTAGTTAGGATCTTTCTAGATAATATTATACTATATAATAAAGATAAACTAGTTACTATCTACTATATACTACCCCTAGATAGATAGCAGGATAGAGCAGGCAAACTAAGAGGTGTAAGCGGTACTGCGCATAATAGTATACTTTAAGCAGACTAACTAGCCTAACTACCTGCTAGCCTGCTAACTTACACTTAATAATAGGGACTCTAGTATAACTAGTATTAGCCTAAATCTACTTTTAAATAGGTTTACTATAGACACGCTATAAAAAATAATATTACTACTAGTAAAGCCTAAGAATCCTTATAGAGAGGCTGTAGTGTTCTTATTACACCTATAGAGGGGTGTAGAGCTAGCGCAAGCTACTATTATATTCTAATAGTAATAATAATAGGAAGTAATAAACTAGTCTTAATACCTAGCTAAAAAGTTCCTAAAAGGTAATATAGTTTAGTTTATAATACGTAATATAAAGATAAACTAACTAAGTAAAAAGTTTAACTAGCTACAGGTTAAGTATAAAGTAATAGAAGTCCCTACTCTACTTATAGTAGTGTTAGACTTACTAGGGAACTTATATAAGACTATGTATATAGATCTGCTAGAGAGAGCTACTAATAACCTACTACTAAGCTAGAAGCTTTAGGACTTATAACTAGGTCTAATAGTTACCCTAGAAAATAAAAATATAACACTAGATAAATAGGAAGTAGAAGAGATCCTTTATATAAAGAATATAAGAGGAAAAGGAAAGTATTAAGTCCTAGTAAAATAGAAGGGGTATATTAATCTAATATAGCACCTACTAGAGGTAGTATAGGATACTAAGGCTCTAGATAGGTTTAAGGAATAGTATAGGGATACTACGCATAATAATAGCCTAATACGTATAAAAGCTAGAAGGTAAGGGTAAAAGGAAACTAAAATAATAACTTAGACCTTTGTTATAATTAAGAAGTAGAAAGGTATTAGAGATATCTTTTATTTATCCTAATAACACTCTAAGTAAGTGCCCTACTACTAAAGCTTTATAATATAGCTAATAATTAGGTAGCAGTATTTATACTATTACTATCTATAACTAACCCCCCCCTAGCCCCCCCTAAACTATTATTTATATTATTCTAACGCCTTTATATCTCTTAGTAATAGTAGTAACGCTTACGTGTAGCGTAGGTAGGGGACAACTTAGTTAACAAGTATAAATAATAGTAGTAGTAGTAGTAGAAGGAGGGTAGTACTTTAATAGCTTGCTAACGCGTAGCACCCTAGGCCTAAAGAAAATAAATATTAGAATAGATATAAAGGAAATAAGGGAAATTTAATACTAATAATAAGCAGTCTTAATACCTTAGGTAGTGCGCTTAGTAGCGCTCTTAAGCCTATTAATATAAAGGTTAGTTTAGGCCTAGGTCTTATTTATACACTAGTTAATATACTAAAAGGTAATACTAGTAGTAGTAGCAAGCTATATAATATTATTATTGCTATAACTACTATATAAGGGCGTAATAGTAGACTAAAGTAGAAATACTAGAGCACTAGTAGTAGATAGAATAATAGCACTAAGCTAATACTAATTATAGGCGCGTAAGTATATAGTAGGGGCAAGTAGAGTAATAGTATTATTAGTTTAAGCCCTTAATATAAGATCCTTAAAATAATAGTAGAGCTAGTAGAACTATAGTATAAACTAGTAATAGGTACCTTTAGTAGGTTTCTCTATAAAAGTGCTAAGGGTCCCCTTCTTTATAATATAAAGGTAATCCTTCTAGTAACTATAATAAAACTAAAGCTAGTTATAGAGGGCTTAGTAAACGTTAGGGTTATTAGTAAGGATAGCTTCTAACTAAGTACAAGTCTTATAGCCACAATAATAGGACTTATATAAGTGCCCTAGATATAGTTAGAACTTGCTATAAAGAAAATAAAAATTAAGGGGAACTTACTACTACCCTCTTAATAGTTATACTTACTAAAAAGATAAAGCTAGTTAATATACTAATTATAGGGAAGTAGCTTTATAAAGCTACTATTATACTCCTTATTATCTAAGTTACTAGAAATAATAAAGCTGCTAAGCAGCTATATTTAGGGAGATATATGCTAAGTAAAAGTTAGTGTAGGAAATATAGGGAGAATATTAAAAGTACGCACCTTATCTTAGTAGGCCTAGCGTAGGGTCTAACTACCTTATAATAGATCCCTACTACTAGTACTAGTAGTAGTAGATAGAGATATAATAGAGGCTATATAGGCTAGATTAATAGAAAAAGAGTAAAGATAAGACTAATTAGTTAGGAAAGTCTACTATATAACTAAGTAAGTTTAGGAAATTTATAGTAGGGTAGGATAGCTATATTAGAACTTTTATAGTAGGGTGCTAAAATAAGCGTATAGACGCTACGCGCGTGTACTACTTAATATATAGGCCTATTATAAATTAGGAAGGAATATAAAGATATAATAATAAAACTAAAAAATATAGCAATAAAGCCTAATACTAATTATAGAGGACAAAGATATAACCCTAGACCCCTAGAAAGACAATTTCACAATAGTTTATAGGGAAGGTTAGGGGTATATAAAGGGCTTAGGCTTATGCCTAAGCCTAGGTCTAACACAAGACAGACTAAGTCTAACACTACTACTAAGCGAACACACTAGATACCTATAAAAAGGTGTGGAGGGCTTACCTCTCCTTTAAGATACTAAATACTATTATTAACGCTTATTGCATTCTCCCTTAAGGCCAGTCTATAACAAGCGTAATCTAGGCTTATAACTATAGAAATTTAGATTAATAAGGTTAGGGATAATTTAGGAGATAGATTATTAGATTATCTCTACTACAATTAGACTTATATATATAGAGCTTTAGCTACCCTTACTAGAAGGTGTATAATTAGTAAACCTTCCTTACTAGAGCTCCTTCTTTTATTAGGCACTTAGCAGTAAGCTAGCAGTTAATTAGATAGTGGGTTATATAGGGGTATTAATTAGGATTAATTAGGATTAATTAGGATTAATTGGATCAAGATGCTCCGTGATCCGGTTGTTATCCCTCCTGCAACACTTAGGCATAAGCCCAAGCCCTTTACAACGCTAAAGGAAGCCCTAAATGTAGCATAATTAGCAGTAACTATAGGCTGAATAAATACCCGTTTACAGAATACACAAAGCTTAAAACTGTATATTTAGTGGTACTGGTAAAGGCAGAGCAAGAAATAGCAAATTTTTTGCTGCCTTGTGCTTCTTTGGGGTTTTTTTCTTTTTGTCTGAAACAAGTAGAGAGATAAGTCAGGAACCAGAGCGCGAGGTAGAGTGTTTGCTAAATTTGTTGGAGGAACTATCAAGTGGGAGAGCCTGGTGATGATGTGGCACAAATCTTTTGCTCCTTTTTTGCACAACACAGTTTCATGTCTGTGTGGATAGATTGGGTGAAAAATACCATTTCTAAACCAACAATGTCGTTGTTTCTCCTAAAGCCTAATCTACATTTTTCTCTCTCCTCACTTCCCCAAACCCAACGACCACTAACTCTTCCGCCTCTTCTTCTCCCTCTCATACAAATTCTTCTCCCTGCCCTCCTCGCCCTGGATCTCCGCCACCAACCGCCGATACTTCTGCTCATATGCCGCATCCTTCTCCTTCTTCTCGCGAAGCGTCTCTCTGGCGATGAAATTGGCGTCTTTGCGGAGCTCGCGGAGCGCGCCCTTGCGCTCACGCTTGTATTCCTTCTGTAGGCGGACGGCCTCGCTACGCTCTTTGTTGGGGTCGTAGTGCTTGTTGGGGTCGAAGGATTCCTCAAACTTGGGGATGCTGGATTTGATGGGGAGGGGGCGGTGGTGGTGGAGGAGTTGGGGCCGGCGTTTGGAGCGGGCGACGGAGAGGCGGGCGTGGAGGGTTTGGAGGGTCGAGGTTTGCGAGGCGGATTTTAGGGGGGCGAGGAGGGGGGTAAAGATTTCGGTGAAGGAGGGGGAGGCGCTCCAGAGGTCGGCGGCTGTGAGGATGTTCTTGGAGTGGACGGTGAGGAGCGTGGGGTTTGCGTGAGACGAGGTGAGGCAGAGGCTGGTGTAGCGGATGAACTCAGGGATGTAGCGCTTTGCGAGAGTTTGGTATTGTAAGCAAATTGACCCGATGAAAGCGCCAGTTGCGACGTCGTTCGTCGACGCTGGTGTAGTGAGACCCATCCAGCGCGCCATGAGTGTGATGGCGGGTGTGACGACTTGATGGAAGTGATCAGACGTGGGATATATGGATCCGATGGCTGTGAGCAAAGCAAGATCCCCTGCTGTCGGAGCGTTTGAGTTTTGGAGCTCCTTGAGGTGCTCGCAAAACTTCGTAGCAATCTGGACGGAATATGAACGTGACATGGAGTGAATGTGACGGATGATAGCCTCAATCACTGCCAATGAAGCAGCAGGTGTCTCATTCGAGAGAAATACGACATGATCGATCAGCGCACATGCAAAGTCTGCAAGCTTGTTCTTGTTGTCTGCATGTAGACCCGCATGATAGAGTGCGCGTATCCTCTGAATGACCACAGACGTATCGTTGGGGGCGACACCTTTGAACACCTCCAACAGCTCCTCATGAGATCTAGGGCAAGGGTATGTGAAAGCCAGCTTCGAAGAAGGCTCCGTAGTAAGTGTCAGAACGCCTTTTACAGCTTTCGGTTGCTCTTTACGATTAGGAAGGACGTTTTTCAAAAAGTCTGCGTCATCATCATCCATTGCCATAGTGTCATCAGCCGCAGACGCGTTATCAGACTCTTCGTCCGAGATGTCTGCTTCCGAGTCAGTGGCAATGAGATCATCGTCCATCTCGAAGTCGTCCTCATCTTCGACACCCTCTGGTCGACTCGAAGGGACAGTGGCAGCTCGGAGACCAAACTCAGCAGCATCATCCGGGACGCTGTCATCATCTTCATCTTCGCTCTCGTCGACAGTGGCCTTGCCCTTCCTACGAGGCTCCTCCTCGTCGTCGCTTGTAGGCTCTCCTCGCATACGCTTCATACGTTTCTCTTCCAACTTTTTCAGACGATCAGCCTCTTCCTTGGCCTTCTCTTCCTCGGTCTTGGTCCGCTCGGTAGGCTTCGCTCGTTCGTCTTGCAGCAGCTGGCGCACTCGCTTGTCGTACTCACGGTCCTTCTCCAACTGTGAACTTCCTGCAAGCAGTGCTGCGCGATCAGCATTGATACCGAAGGTGTTGTCACCGTCATCCTTTGGTTTCTCGGCCTCTGGCTTCTTGTTGATGTGCTCACGAAGAGCAGCTAAGACATCATTGAGGTCCTTGTCGAGCTTTTCTCGAAGCTCGTCGTCATCCTCCTTTTGTGCCTGACGCTCGTACTTGTGTAGCTTGGACTTTGCCATGACCTCTTTCATGACTTCCGCTTTACTCTTCTTCCTTTCTGGCTGCTCCTCCTCAGGCGCAGCCTCACCTTCTTCACCATCGACATCGTCTCTTCTTCGTTTCTTCTTTAAAAATCCGTCCTCGTCATCGCTCGAGCCAGCCACGCTCGCAGCGTCATAGTCCTCCTCTCCAATCTCATCATCAAATCTCAAAGTCTGGCCATCGTGCGTAAGCATAATCTCGTCATCTCCGCCATCTTCAAGATCGAACACGTTTCCACCCCTCTTGCGCTGCTGCTCGCGCTCGAACCTCGCCATCATGCGATCCTCCAAGCTCATCGTTGGGTCATTCTCGCCAATTCGCTTATCCAGAATGCCTCCGACCTTGTTCTTACGATGCATCTCGGGTAACAGCGTCTTTCTGCGCGTCTCCTCACCCGCGCTCTTGGTGACGCCAGGCCGGCCCAGGATCTTCTTGACGCCATTTTCAGGCTGTGTAGAGACGTAGGCGAACTTTTTTGGACGCGCAAGGTGCTTGAATTCAAATGGATTGAATGATTCGCGAATCGAGGCGAGCGCAGTCGCCTTTTTGGCGCGGTGGTCCGCGTTTTTCGACTGCGCTTTCTTCTGTTTCTTGGACTTTTGGGGCCCGGTGATGCCCTGTTCACGGAGTGAGGCCTTCAGCCGCTTGAGCTGAGAGGGCGGCATCCTGAGAGTGAGATTTGTGGAGCCGCAAAGGGCGTGTGGAGATGTCGAGTATGGCGGCAGGAAAAGCTCGTGGAGGACTTGAAATGGCAAGTCGCTGAAATTATTTCGAAATCTTGGCAACAAGCATGGGAGGACCCTGGCTAGCGTGATACGGCGCAGCCCTGCAGGTGCGCCTGCCCCACATGCGGCTGGCGCCATCATCGCGGTTGCTACAATAGCATTCACAGTCAAAAGATGGATAGCCGTTAAAAGTGTACAATCTACACCATGATCTACCACTACCGATCATGACACCCAACATCCCCGACCACTATCTGTGGCTCGGTCTAGGTAAACCTCCCTCCTACCCTTCTACTACCCTTTCAATCTCACCACTGCAACACCATCAACTAACATATCCGACCCCTCAGGCGTCTTCACCTTCGTCGCCATACACCAAGTCTCCCGCGGCCTAAACAACATACTCGAACTCACCACAATCCACAACTCGCCTGCCCCACCCCCCTCCACACTGCCCCCCAACACCACCCACCAAGAAGACTCGATCCACCCCTCGTCCCTCCTCCTGCTCGCAACATCCCACAACACGGAGCTCCGCGCCTCGGCAACCCGCATCCTATGCACGCGCTTCTATGCCAACAAGTCTGCGCGCAAGGCCCTGCTGCGCGATCTCAAGAGCGCGGATGAGGATACGAGGCGCAAGGCGCAATTGGCGATGAATATGCTGTGTGAGCTTGGGATATGGAAGGAGGGGCAGGTTGCGCGGATGGGGAGGCGGGTTGGGAGGTGGAGGGTGATTGGGAATGTGGAGCGGGATGGGCAGGAGAGGGGGATCGGGGCCGAGGAGAGAGAGAGGGATGTTAGGAGGCGGAGGAGGGAGGCTGTGGTTATACATGACGGGGAGGGGGTGGTTGGGAGTGAGGATGTGTACATGAGGGGTGGGGAGACGGGGTCGATGGATGACGGGGGCTTGGAAAGTTTTGTGGCGTCGTTGGCAGTTGGGGGCCTGGATACTTGAGATGATTGGCGCACATGAGGGGACGTGGAGTGTTTCATGATTGCTCTCTACAGTGAAACATGTGGATTCACTAAAATCATGAATGTTGTTCATTCGGTGTCTCTATTGCGACAAAGATGAAAAAAGATGGCAGGCTAGCCGCTGCAACCACAACCAATGCCACGGCATCTAAGACGCCTGATACCCAAGGTGACCCAACATATCCAGCCCGAACCCTAGCGAACTGAGCCTAGCCACTCTCTTTGCATTCTCTTGATCTACTGCAGCCTTCATACCCACCGGATCAGGAAGCCCATGCGCATCAGCCTACGATGCCCCAACCGCCTTCCTCTGATCCTCCTCCTTGCGCATATCCTCCAAGAAGCCTTCCCACGTCTCAATCGTACCCTGGAAAAAGTCCACATGCGCATCCGCCAGATCGCCCAGTGTGTCCTTGAACTCGATGGACTTGATACGCTCAAAGTCGGCGACTTCCTTGACGGTGTGTTCATCGAATGCTTCGCTGGACTTCTTCGACAACTCGACCTCACTCGTTAGTCGCTCGATTTCAACTTCCAGCTTACGGACCCGTTGGCGGCGCGCCTGGTCGTGGTCAATACCCCGAAAGTCTTCGACCTTGGACCGTAGGAAGCCAGAAGCGCCCATGCCCGCGCCGTGCGAACTGGCTAGTGAATCACGGTCGGCGGCAGATTTGGCAAGATATTCACTAAGCTGCTCGAAGTCAAGTTGCTTCGCTTCTCGGGTGCGGAGGAGCGTCTTGAGGGCTTGAATATAAGCATCCATATCTCGAAGGCTGGTGAGGTAATTCTGATCGGTGTGGTCGTGAATAGATTTGAATCCCTGCGAAGTTGTAGTGACGGACGCAGCGAAAGATGTCAGCGTTCCGTCAACGGCAGGCTCGAGAGCAGTGAGCTTCTGACATTGGGTGGCTAGGTCGGCGTAGTCTGTCTCTAGGTCACCTTGCCGCCTGGCTACCTTGACGGTCACTTTCTCGACATTGGCCAGGTCCTCGCTCAGCTTGTTCGCTCGCTCACTGACTTCGATAAACCGCTTATCTGGCTTGTGTACTTTTGTGAACGTATTGACAAAGGTATCGGCCAGCGCATCGACGAAGCCGGTGCTGCCCTGCTCCGACCCACTTGCAGCTCGTGATGATCTTCCCTTCATGTGCTGATTCCAGTCTGGGGATTCAAGAAAATTAATAACCAGCATAGCTCTCCGTAAGACTGGATGTAACGATATGCGCTTCAAGAATCGGTGCAATGAGTGTGCCCTCCTCTGGGTGAAATCCGGCCCGAAACGGTCTCCTCGCACATACTCCATCTTGTGCTTGTCGGGCAGCGGCGGGACGGCGCATTGTGGATACTCCTTTGAGAGTTGCTTGTACAGAAAGACGAAATCTGTAAAGCGACGTCGGACGGTAAACTCTGGTTTTTGGAAGGACTGGAAATCCGACTGGTGGTGATTCATCAGCATGACCGCTATTCAGCGCGCAGCCGCCCAGCTGCAATTCGAGGACCAACCTTCGTGGTGACTTGATAAGAGACATATTGATTCTGTGTCCCGGCCAACTCCTTTTGCGGGCTGCCCACGAATGTCTCCAGGCGCCCTTCGCTGAAGTCGGCGGCCATTGCGCGGCTGCGGACGGTGGCTAGGTCTTGAATGAGATCACGGAGATTGGCCTCTAGTTCGTCTCTGTCACTGAGCTGATCGTATTCGGGATCCTCGAGGAGATCTTCGAACGGCTGCGGATTGCTGTTGGTTGGTGTTGTTGTCGATGGTGAGCCTGGGTGGAGTGACGTCTGGGTTGCTGGGGTCCTGAGCCTTAAAGCTTGGGCTTGCGGGGCTCTGAGGAGCGGGCGCGTTACGCCGCGACACCTCGTCCAAGGCCATCTACCGGGTCGGCGCGCGGCGATGCAAGGACAAAAGAATGAGATTGAGAAATGCTGAACAAAAGCGAAGTTGATAAGCTATCAATGATTGATTGTCTGAAATGCGTAGCTCTAAAGACCAAGTCGGCAAATCGCCTATATCTACAATGAATGTGAAGGAAGCTACCGGTTACTCAAACACTGCACTCACGCGGTCCATTCTCCAAAGTGACTGTGATGTCCCAAAAAGCAATGGCCAGAAGACCGCCTATACCAATCACGACAACTAGAAATGCAAAATCCATACTGCTTATGCGTGGTCAAACCTGGTCATACATGAGAATTCAAGTGGGGTATCACTGTTCGACACTGAATCTTTTGGCGAACTCTTTGAAAAGCTGTGGAGAGATCTCGTCACTGCTGTTACCGTTGGCAGTCCATAATACACCGAGCTTGTCGTAATGCTCGAGCAGCGGTTCGTTGTTCTCCTTGAAACTCTTCAGTCGTGCTTTCCACACATCCGGGTCATCATCTGGGCGTCGCGTGAGTGGCTCTCCAGTGACGTCGTCCTTGCCCTCCACCTTGGGCGCATTGAATGTGGTATTGTAGACGCGCCCTGAAGGCGCATGGACCCAGCGATTGCAAATGCGATCGATGATGATCTCGCTAGGAGTATTGAGATTCACCACCAGGTTGATGGGGACAATGTTGTCCAGCTGAATGGCTTGCATGGCGGTTCGCGGAAAGCCGTCGAGGATGAAAGAGGCTGAGGGTTGGTCTGAGAAGGTATACTTGGATGTCTTGATTTGCGATGGTATCATGACCGAGTCCACCGAGGCATCTGCCCTTTCCATGGCGAATGAGCTGGAATAGACGGCATAGGGCCGTAGCGTACTGTCATGAATCCATCCGCGGGTCGTCAACTCGTTGATGATCAGTCGTAAAATCATGGTGTCGGGTACTAAGGCGCCAGCCTTCATCTTGGACTCGGCCTGTATGCCTTGTGTCGCGTCAGCACTTTGACGATCTCAATGGACAGCAGTCGCAGGCATACCGAGAGGAGTCCGGTCGCGAACATTTTTCCTCAATAAATCGCCCGAGCTGATTGACTGCAATTGAGGGAACTTTTGCATCAGCCGCTCTGTTTGCGTGCCCTTTCCAACGCCTGGCGGGCCGACCAGTATGACCCTCGCTGCGCGCGATAGCATAGGCGCGACCATGGTGGCAGAAGGATATGTCTGGACAATTAGGAGGATGGCTGTATGTATTTGCGGTTATACTGCTATGAATATTGGGTTGAGAAGGGGAAACAGAAGCTCATAGGCTTCGCCGGAAGTCCGCAGTCGCTAGAAAAGATCCATGGTGGTGGTGATGATGGTGTGGAAGTTGGAAGGGAGGGGAAGGGGAAGTGATGGAAATTAAAAAAAAAAAAAGTTATCGGAAGTTGTACAAGTCTGGGCGTGAAAAAAAGAGGCGAGATGTGATTGAATAGTATAGCGGGAGGGAGAGAGAAAGCCGACGGTTGGGGCGATCAGCGTGAAAAGGGAATGCGATGGCCTTCGGGTGGGGGAGGGGTCCGAGGGGACGGGTGCGGACGGTGTGGACGGTTGGCGGTTGGCGGTTAAGGACGGTTGGCAGGCCGGGTTCTCCATCTCTTGAGGGTGGGCGAGTCGGCGAAAGAAAGCCATGGGCAGTACTCTTACGATGACCAGGAAAGCTGGGACTAGGTTTTCATGTCTAGAGTAGTGAATGGTTGATGAGCTGGTCGCCTCGTCCCCCCATGTCACTCTCGGCGATTCGGCGGCGGGCGTTGGAAGGAAGAGGGAAGGGGAAAGCCTAGGTACGGGTGTGTGTGTGTGTGTGTGTGTGTGTGTGTGTCCACCTTCACAGCAACAGCACACAGCGCACCCTTTGACAGCTCACCATTCCTCCCTTTTCTTCTTCTTTTTCGCAGCACAACCATGCCCGATGTGTAAACACATGCGACTGCTTGCACCATCTCTAGTACTCTCTGCAATCCTAGATCGGCTAACCATCGTCGTGCACGTCACATACAGGAACTATAGTACCTATGCAGACAGCTGACTGACAGCAACCCGGTTTCTCCCTCGTCGTCTTCCCCGAGCTTTCACGTACCCAGGCTACCCTCTCTCTATCCAGGTAATGCCGTAGCATCATTCGGAGCCTTCTAGAGGGCCCCGTTCGTGGCAAGGGAAAAGCCAAGCTTTTGCGATCACCGCAGCGTACCTGAGCCTACTAACGCCGTAACCGTCTCGTCAGAGCGCAATTTCATCAGCTCGACTAGAGTACTACATCCCACATCACTCCTTGCCTTTCTGCATCCACTTCTCTTGTCTTCACCACCACCTTTTTTCCATTGCCTGTACTGTACCATCAATCTTGCCATACTAGCTCCTTAACCTCTGGCCTCCACACACCCCGTGTCTTCCTCTGTTCTTCCATTTGCCTAGGCGCAATGTACGCCAGAAGAGTTGCCTCTCGGGCAGCGCCCGCAGTCTTCAGAGCGGGCATGCGAACCAGCATGCGAGCACACCGTCCGATGCTTCGACCGGACCCTGCCTTCCGCCTTTTCATCCCCCTACGCACTCTGCAAACCGAAACTACGTCATCCTCTGCGCAAAACTATCCGCCCCCTGGCTTTGATCCCAAGCAGGCCAGCAAACCACTCCAGCCAGAACAGCGAGCAGCCCAGCAACAAACCGCACCTCCGCTGGACAAGGAAGAAGCCATTATTCCCAAGACTGGCGCTACGGCCAACCCAAAAACACCAGCGCAGGATGTGCAAACCATGACCGAATTGGCGGCGGACAAGGCATCGGCCACAACCAAGGACGAGATGAAGGCCATTGCAAAGAAGGAGGCAGAGAAGAAGAAATTGACCCTCTGGCAAAAGATCAAGCATGAAGCAGTACACTACTGGGATGGAACAAAACTCCTCGGCTTCGAGATCAGAATCAGTTCAAAACTGGCCCTGAAGATGGCTGCTGGATACGAGCTTACCCGTCGAGAGCGTCGTCAGGTAACTTCCCCCTAGGCCAAACGGCATGGCAAAAGACTGACAGGGAAACAGCTTCAACGAACAGTTCAGGATCTCGGTCGCTTGATCCCCTTCCTGCCATTCATCATCGTCCCGTTTGCTGAATTGCTGCTCCCAGTAGCACTCAAGCTCTTCCCCAATATGCTCCCCAGCACATACGAGGGTCAGACAGCCAAAGACGACAAAGCAAAGGCTCTTCGGGCTACCCGCAAGGATGTCAGTGACTTCCTCCGCCAAACGTTAAAAGAGACAGGTCTGCCTGTCTCGCCTGAGAATGCACAGACCGAAGAGTTTGCCAATTTCTTCCGCAAGGTAGGCACTGCTTGATGGTTCAGGCTGCTAGACAGTGGGACTGACCCAGACAGGTACGGACGACAGGCGAAAAACCAAGCCCAGAGGAGATCATCAAGGTGTGCAAGATTTTCAAGGATGATTTGACCTTGGACAACTTGTCGCGACCCCAGCTCGTCTCCATCTGCCGGTACATGAACATCACATCATTCGGCACCGACAACTTCCTCCGTTACCAAATCCGACTTCGCATGCGCCAGATCAAACGTGATGATAGGGCCATTGCGTACGAAGGCGTCGAATCGCTCTCTGTTCCAGAATTGCAGACTGCCTGCGCGAGCCGCGGTCTTCGAACGTATGGTGTCTCCCCTGGCCGTCTGAGGGACGACCTACAAAGCTGGCTGGACCTGCGTCTCAAGCACGGAGTCCCATCCACTCTCTTGGTTCTCTCCAATGCTTTTGTCTATGCTCAGGGCAAGGAGACGGAGATGACATCGCAGATTGACGCATTGGAGGCAGTCCTCTCCAGTATTCCTGAAGAGCTGTTCCACGAGATTGAACTCGAAGTGCACAACACTGAGGGTGCTGCTACCAACAAGCAGCGTCTGGAGGTGCTCAAGGAGCAGCAAGAACTCATCAACGAGGAAAACGAGCAAACGGAGACTGTGGAGAACAAAGCCACCGCCTCGCCCAAAGATCACGAAGACATTGACGAAGACGAGAAGCACGCTCGCAAAGAGGCCAAAAAGGCCGAAGAAAGCAAAGAGGCAGAAGCCAGTGCCGGCGACGCCTTTGGCGGTAGCTCCGAGCGTACCGAGCAAGACGACCGTGCCAGGCGAGGCGAGGAGCCCTCTAGCAAAGACACGAAGCCCGCTCGCGAGGCCAAAAAGGAGTGAGAGTGAGCTCACACTGTACCACCCTCTCCTCGCTTTGCGCAACTTTTCCTTTCTGTCCCGGTGGGAAATAGATACCCAAGGCCATGCCCTGGCGCTCTTGGAACATAGAAACACGAATGAATCTTGTAGACAGAAAAATACCCGACCCCTTGTTTCCCAGGAAATGAGAGGGTGAAAATATAGAATTGTAAATACGTAAAAATGGCTGTGCAGGCTCATGGGGTTTTTTTACTACGTGTGTTACTATGTACATTCGATTTACTCCTCGCGTGGAATTCTCCCGATGCCTTGGGTCTTGAAGTATACACACACAGACACATTGCCATTATCCTGCCCAGTACTCCGACGTGCTTGTTTCTTCTACTCATAACCGTGCGCGCGCCGTGCGCTGGACATTTTGTACCGCGTCATCGTCACCCCGACCTTCCCTATCTTGGTTTCCTCGTCGTCCTTGTTCAGGATCTTCAGGATCCTCAGGCTCGTCCTTGCGCACGCCCTGCCATATCTCCGCTACACACCAGAGTTTGTGTGCGCCGATGGATTCGAGCAGTTTGCCGCGGTTGGCGCGGTAGGTTTGGTCGTAGATGGAGGCGGGGAGGTGGTGTGTGCCTGTTGGGGAGAAGATTAGGATTGGGGGGGTTGGTGGTGATGGGGTTTTTGTTCTTGCTGCTTTCCCTCGTGCTTCTGCTCTTGCATCTCCCTCCGACCCTTTTCTTTCTCCGCCCTCCAACCCACACCCATTTGCAAACCCAATAAACCAATCCGCAATACCCTGTGCAACCGCCCTCGCCTCCTCATTCATCTGCTGATTGAAATTCTGCAGCAGAAATGCGACGTCCAGTTCATGCGAGGCCAGGCCCTTGAACGGGCCGGGGAAGGGGTTGGGGACGTGGAAGTGGTAACGCATGGATGGGCGGTTTTGCCAGCCACGATGTACGGCGAGGGTGGGGAGGTAGAAGCGGAGTTCTGAGACGAGGGCGCGGAGACGGTCTATTTGTTCCTCTTTCGTGGTGGTGGCATTGCTGCCGCTGTCGTGGAGCTTGTAGGCGCTGAGCAGGTCGTTTGTCTCGCTGGGTGTGAGATAGGTTGCGCATGCGTCGCGAAGGCGCTCTAGTACGTGTGGGTGATCTAGGATTCTGGTTTTGAGCACCGTGCCGTCGTGTGCGGAGTCGCCGACGACGTGTTCCTTGCACCATGAGGGTTTGTGCTCGGCGCGGTGGGTGTTGCTGAGGAGATCGAGCGTGATGTCTGTTTTGAGCCATGAGCGGTCGATTGTGGGGGTGAAGTGCTGGGCGAGTGGGAGTTGTTGGGCGAGTTGTTCGGCGTCGCTTTCGAGTAGCTTTTCCCTTCTGGCTGCGGGGTCCGAGGGGTCGAGGTGCAGAAGCGTGGATTGTTCCTCGTAGAGTTGCTGTTGCCAGGTCTGAGGTCGCGGTTTGCGCAGCGTCGTCTCCCCGCTCATCAGCACGACGCGTTCGAAGAGGCCGGGGGTGCCGACACCAGCAGCACACAGCAGTGTAGAGAGGGAAATTGCACCCGCGGACTCCCCCACCGCTGTCACCTTGTCTGGATCGCCGCCAAAGCCGGCAATGTGCTTTTTGATCCAGCGGAAAGCCAGGACCTGGTCCTTGAACCCCATGTTCCCCTTTGCACCAATATCCCGACTTGCAAGGAAGCCAAAGATGTTGAGCCGGTAGTTGATGGCGACGCCTATGACCGGCTGTCCGATTTCCAGGCTCCGCGCAACCAAGTTGGAAATGTTGTATTGTGGCCAGCTGTTTGATCCCATGCTCAATCCCCCACCGTGCACCCAGACAAACACAGGAAGAAGCGCCTTCTTCTTTGGCCCTCCATTTCCATCTCGCAAGCTCTGCTCTACGGGGACAGTGACGTTGAGATGCAGACATTCGAATTCATCCATTTTCTCTTCTTCTGGCTGGATGCAGTTTCCCTGAGCCCTGGAGCGAGGCGGCTCTACGTCTCCCAGGAGCGTGAGGTCCCATGCCTGGGCGCCGCGGTGCTGGGGACATGATGGGCCGAATGCGGTTGCGTCGACGATGCCGTCTGAGCCGGGTGTTAGAGTGTCATTCGAGGTTGAGTCTTGGTATCGCGCTGGGACATGGGCGTATTTCAGGCCGCGGAATTGCAGGGTCGAGGAGGAGCGTACACCTCGGATGGCATGTTGGAGTGAGGTGTGCTGGTAGACATTGTCCGCGGGGAGGGAAACCATGTCATCAGTCTTTGGCTTTGGCTAGGGCAGAGGCGGCGACCAGGAATCGTAGAGGGGAGGACATGGCGTGGGAGAGAGTGTGGGTTTGGTGAAGTTTGGTGTGGTGTGGGCTTGTTTTCGTCTGGGGTTGGGGTATGTGGGGTGTGGGGCTTGTATGGACCTCGGAGTTGATGTTATCTCATGGATCGGGCGCTCCGGGTGGTGAGGCAGGTGGTAAGGTGATTATCGAGTGCAGTATCGAGATATGGCCATACGGAGGTGGGTATGGGGGTGGGTATTAAGGGAGGTATCGAGGCTGCCCCTGAGCGGTGAGGCAATGTAGAGAGATACTTGGGGTAACATGAGTTTTACTGCGTCAGACAGGCTACAAGATAGTAGTAGTAGTAGTAGTAGCTCAAGGTGTTATTGAAGATGTCAAGTATAGTACCAAAAGTAGGGTTAATACTACTCATGAATGCATCACAAGGTTATCGTACATGAAAGAATAGGTAGGTCGATTGTCGTCCACGATGTGATTGTTTCTTCATGCATGCCATGACGCCTAATGTGCACCGTCAGCTACTCTAGGGTCAACCAGTCAACAGCCGCCAAAGTGTTGCATCTATGTGCGACAAGTTAGTGCATCTACCGGTATAGTCCGACATTCATGCACAAATATCTTCATGTTCTTGGTGGGTTGCAGGTGTAAACAGAAGTACACTTGCATCATCTCCCGCATGACCATTGGATGCCACCTACATGCCTTACTCTGGTAGTACATAGCCTACACACATGTGGAGTATATTGTAGTCCACACCCGAGTACGAGTAGTGCAGCCATGGTTGGGGTAGAGTAGCACAGCCAACAGCCCCCACCCAATCAAAAGCACCACGCCTGCCCCTTCTCTGCCCTTTTCACTCGCCCTTGCAAAAAAGCTTATTCCAACCCAGTTTTTTTTTTGGTTGTTTTTTTATTCTCTTGTTAGAATGGTTTGCCCACCAGGGTGATTTGCCACCATGGTGGAGGGATTTCCTCGTTGGCGGGATTAGTTACTGTTATTTATTTGTTCGGTGGTTGGAGGCGGGTTGTATCGAAGATGGTGGAGCATCAATGCTGGCTTCTTCTAGTAGAGTATATTGTACATGAGACAGATGGTTTAGCTGCAGATGTAAGCTTATCATTGCGGGTCGCCATTGTCCCTTGTGGCCAAAGTCTGACCCTTGCTACAACAGCATAAGAAAAAAGATGGAGTAGTCAAGAGTACAAGGCTCGTACATTCGGCTCAGATCCTCTCTGCTGCCGTGGCTCCATTTCCATCTTGTCTTCCCTTTCTTTGTGCTGCATGTGCCGACACTCGGTAGATCCTCAACGTACCCGCCAACTGGGAAGATCACGACGTCATTTGCCCCAACATAATCCACTTCCACCCAATCTGCCCAGAGTGCGGACAAAACAGGCACCCGTACTAGAGTAGGAGTACTACTCTAAGCTGTAGGTGTCCTACACCCACATCCACACCCCACCGCGCTTCTCAGGCGCCTCTGATCGCTAAACCCGATGGAGGCACACAGTAAGACGTGGCGCAGGACTGATCCATGTGCCAGCGTAGGGTAGGACACAAGAAGGTTGTCAGCGATGCACAAGCAAACGCCCATTGCAAATACAATCACGTATCTACTACCACCTACTCGTACTATACGGCAGCTTGTACTCTAGTACTTGTACCTCTACTTTGTATGTACCACCGAGAGCAGGCCAGGGGCCCCCTCCCCCCTGCTACGTCGCTTCAAGATTCAAGAAGATCTCCAATTCCGGCCAGCCGCTCCCGTCGGTGCAGCCTTGGCGCTGACCCCCCCCCCCCCCCGGCCGTGGGCGAACGACATATGTGCTCCCGAGCACGCAATCACCGTCTCGTCTTTCGCGATTGGACACTAGCGAATCCCTAACACACGGCCAACATCCTTCCTCAGCGACCCATCACACAATCACCCACTCCCATTTGCACTAGCAAGCCTAACAACCCTGCAGGCTGGCCCCGTCATGCCATGAAATTCCAGAAGCCCAGCACCGCGGCGAACAAATCGGACAAGCTTGCACACCTTGGGAAGAACCATGGCTCGGCCCTGGAGCTGCATTATGTCACTTGTCAAACCCTTGCGCGTGGGTTGAGCTGGGAATTGGGAGTGACTTGCTCCCCGAGTACCTCGTACAGAGCACCTACTTCCTTTTGCCTCTTCCACGGACCCCCTCTTGCATTGGATACTTTGTCGTCTTCTGCCCTATCATCCATCCACCACGAACGGTCACGCAATCCTGTTACCTGATCGCCCAATCCCGTCCCTCTCCTCCACCCCTTCTCCCTTTTTCCACGGAGAGCACACGTTGAACCGCCAGGATCGCGCTCATCCCTCCAAATCCGCATTCCCGACACTGCGGTCCGCGTGGGAGGAAGCCCTCTCTATTCGTCCAGCTGGAGGAAAAGGACTGTCTGGACTGGGCTTATCAACACCCTCCCACACTGTGCTTTTGCAGGACCACCACCCGTACTGCCGTCTGCTGCTATAAGGTGCCGCGCCCCCGGTATATCTTGTCACCATCTCCAAAGCTTGTTCAGACCTGGTAGTGCTTCGTACCACACACTGGCAAGCACGTGCTATCTCCCAGACTGATTCAGTCGCCTTGGCGAATTGCCTCGCCAGAACCTAATGGCTTCCACAACCTCCAAGATCGGCCATGGCCTTGCGAAGATCTTGGGGATCCAACTTCATTATCGCAACGAAACCGGTTCCGAGCGGGTAACTCGGGGAGAAAGCGTCTTCACAATCGACTCGGCCGACGCGTACGTCGAGCATGAGCCCACCGCCAGGGAATGGCTACATGAAGTCATCCCCACTGGTCAGGAACTCGGCGAGTACGCTTACAGCCTGTTTCCCTTCATTCACTGGATTGGCCGGTATAACCTGCAATGGTTCATCGGGGATCTCGTCGCAGGTCAGTAGAGTACGGGTCTGGTGTTGGATTTTGCTAACATTCTCAGGTCTGACTGTTGGCGCTGTTGTCGTCCCGCAATCCATGGCGTACGCAAAGCTGGCGCAGCTTCCCGTCGAGTTTGGGCTCTACTCTTCCTTCATGGGTGTCCTCATCTATTGGTTCTTCGCTACATCAAAGGACATCACCATTGGCCCTGTCGCGGTTCTCTCTACGGTCACTGGTAACGTGGTCCTGAGCGCTGAAGCCAAACTGAAGGACGAGGGCATATCGCGAGACATCATTGCATCCTCCCTTGCCATTGTAGCTGGTGCCATCGTACTTTTTCTTGGTCTTATCCGATTGGGCTGGATCGTTGACTTGATCTCTCTGCCAGCCATCTCGGCTTTCATGACTGGATCCGCCATCAGTATTGCTGCGGGACAAGTGCCAGCCATGATGGGTATCACTGGTTTCTCAACCAGAGAGCCGACTTACAAAGTGATCATCAACATCTTCAAGTACCTCGGACGGACTGATATCAATGCCTCCTTTGGACTGACGGCTTTGTTCCTGCTATATGCCATTCGCTTCTCTTGCAATCAGCTGGCTAAGCGCTTTCCCACCCGAGCAAAGTTGTTCTTTTTCCTCAACACTTTGCGAACTGCCTTTGTCATTCTACTCTACGTCCTGTTTAGCTACCTGGCGAACCGACAGCACAGGGCTAATGGCACTAAGCCTATCATTACAACCCTAGGATCTGTACCTCGCGGGTTCAAGCACGCTCGCGTCCCCAATATTACCACCGACATGGTCAAGGCATTCTCCACCGATCTTCCATCTGTGGTCATCGTCCTGTTGATCGAGCACATCTCCATCGCCAAGTCTTTCGGCCGGGTGAACAACTACACTATTAATCCTTCGCAAGAACTCGTGGCCATCGGTGTTAGCAACTGTCTTGGCCCCTTCCTCGGTGCTTACCCGGCGACTGGATCCTTCTCCCGAACAGCTATCAAATCAAAAGCTGGTGTGCGCACTCCCTTTGCTGGTGTCATCACCGCTGTCGTGGTCCTCCTCGCCATCTACGCACTCCCTGCCATGTTTTGGTATATCCCAAACGCCGCACTCTCAGCCGTCATTATCCACGCTGTCGGTGATCTGATCACACCGCCAAATACTGTCTACCAATTTTGGAGAATTTCTCCTCTTGAGGTCTTCATCTTCTTTGCAGGTGTCATTGTTACAGTGTTTACCACGATTGAGATTGGTATCTATGTAACCGTATCAGTATCTGCCGCCCTATTCGGCTTCCGAGCGTTCAAGGCCAAGGGACGATTCATGGGGCGAGCCAAAATCCACTCCGTCGTTGGTGACCATGTGCTAGACCCACATGATGATGATAAGAAACGGCCAAGTGGACGCAAGACCCCAGCAGAGAACGAGGATTCTGTCCGTGAAGTATTCCTACCCCTCGATCACCAGGATGGCTCCAACCCTTCGATACAACTGCTGGATCCTTACCCAGGTATCTTCATCTACCGATTCAGCGAGGGCTTCAACTACCCCAATGCCAACCATTACCTCGATCAACTCACAGACACCATCTTCCAAAAGACCCGCCGCACCAACCCAGCAGGCTTTGCCCGCCCCGGCGACCGCCCATGGAACGACCCCGGTCCGCGTCGTGGCAAGGAGACCTCTGACGCCGATGGGCGACCCACACTCAAAGCCATCATCCTCGACATGTCCTCTGTCAACAACGTCGACCTCACATCGATCCAAAACCTCATCGACGTCCGCAACCAACTCGATAAATACGCCGCCCCCGACACCGTCGACTGGCACTTTTGCAACATCAACAACCGGTGGACCAAGCGCGCGCTCGCCGCCGCTGGCTTCGGCTACTACACCCCCGACAACGAAAATGGCATCACCCACCGCTGGAAACCCATCTTCAGCGTCGCCGAAATCGGCGGCTCCTACTCTGCCGCCGCCGAAGCGGAAGCGGAAGCTAATCGCCGCGCCCAACGCACTCTGAGCCGCTCGCGAAGCCATGATATCGAAGCTACAGCCCAACAACAGGAGCAGCAGCAACAACAGCATTCAGAGAGCGAGGGCAACAGCGACGCCGGCAGCTTGAGCAAGCAACTCCAGTACAGCACGGCGTATGGTGCGACGGACACACAGGTCAAGAGTGGACGGGTTGCAGTGGTGCAGGGCCTGAATCGGCCATTATTCCATGTCGATGTTACGGCTGCGCTGAATAGTGCGCTGGCGAATGCGCAGAGGAAAAGTCATTAGGTTGTAGCTTGGCTTTTGTCCTCCTCGTGGAGGAACTGATGAATATGCATTTGTAACGCAGCGAGTTTGTTTTTTCTTACTTTTGCTTAGCGAGAGGTGGTTTGTAACTTGCGTGGAAGATTGCATTATATACATCCAGATTTTGCAGCAGTAGTAGCCTGGAGAGTTTTCGCATGGGTTTTGAATGGTTTGAGTAGGTTTGAGGTTTGAGGTTTTGCATGGAATAGCATAGCATGTCTTGTCACTGAATGCCAATGTGCATATTGTCTGTTGTGGTACTTTGCGTGTTGTATAAACCTCTGTCTCTCTGCCTTCCTTTCCATTTTCCTATTCACATAATATACACCACGACTTCGCAACCAAACTCGCACACCACATGCCACGCACACTCTTCAAATGCTCCTCCATGGCAAGGTAAAGGGGAAAAAAGGGGGCGGATGGGGGTATATCTGTACACCACTTGCATATAGTCAATTTTCTTCGCATTCCCCAATCTCAAGCCCAAAGCCCTTTGCGCAAGCGCTTTGCTACATCTCCCGACCTCCGAATGCCGCGAACAATAGAAAATGGGAAACAAAAGACCCAAAGACGAAGATTTCAAACACCCTGGGAAGAGAAATGTTGCACCCGGGTTCGTGGGGAGCAAAGATACAGATAAGACAAGATGGGGTTGAAGGTGGGTATTTGGAGTAGGGAAATTTGTGCATCGGAATACGTGGTCACGGGCGTTGAGTGCGGAAACCGGGGGCGTGGGGGAAGAAGAATAAAACAATACCTCGTCGATTGCAAAAAGGGGAGAAGAAAAGTGGTGATACGGTCGTGGTCTTTGTACAAGGCATGTATCGCCTACTTTCCCCAAGATAGATGCGTGCTCAAAAGATCCGCATCGCAGATACCCAGCTCCTCGTTTAGCAACCCTCGGCTCGGTTAGCCTTGCAACCTCGAAGACGAGAACAAATCAGTCAGAGTAAATTTCCGTCGTCGGCGCTAGATCCAAGTCAAACTTAGTTGTAAGCTTCGGCAGGTAAACTGGGCTGACTCTGGGCAAACAAGACACCCGCCTGATCGATATTCCAGCCACCGGCTTCGAGACACTGGACTGCAAAGTCACGCTTCAGATTGGTTTGTTGCTGGACGTAGAGAATCATTTCTTCTTTTCGCTGGAGATCTGGGTCTGGGATTGGCTGTTGTGGAATGGGTGGGGTGTTGGTCATTGGTATTTGCGCGGGTGCGGTGTTTTGGTTGTTGAGGTTGATGTTGTTGTTCATCGGGTTCATCGGATTGATGTCGTTGATACTGTTGCTAGTGTTGATTTGGTTGAATCCCGCAACGTCGTCTCCGCGGACTTGGATTCCGTTTAGAATTTTCAGTTTTGGGAACCAAGCTGTTAGTTCTTCTTCCCAGCCTGGCGCAGCAAACGGGTCTACAATCAGGTGTTCCAGGTTTCGGAAGCGGCCTTTCCAGGGCTGTAGGGCGGAGAGCGTGGCAAAAGCATTATTACTGAGGTCGAGGTTTTTGATGTGTCGAAATGTGTGCACAAGGGTGTAGACGACGTGGGTATTTTGTAGGTTGTTGCCGGACAGTGTTACGCTGTTGATTGCGACTTCTCGCGCCTCTGGATCTGGGATCATACTATCGCAGACTTTCATGAGAGCGGGGAAGAACTTCTTTTGTGCGCCTTCCGTGGCAAACATGCCAGAGTTGATGATTTCCTGGTCACTGGCGATGGTGGAGAGGTTGAGGAGTTTGTTGTCTGCGTCATATCGCCTTCCCAGAAACTCTTTCATAAGTTTGAATGCTGGGTTGGATTCCATGGTCTTTTCGTTAATCGGTTCTTCGTGCTGCCGCCGATCATTTTGTGAGAAGTGGTTGTAGCCACCGCCACGAGGTCCGCGAGGTGCGTTGTAGAATCCTCGTCCTCGTCCGCGACCACGTGACGTGTTTGCGTCGTACATTGCCTGGTCGTCATCATGGTGATTTTGGTAATTCTGATGGTGATGATTCGGGCCGCTTTGATAGTGATTGCCTCGTCCCCGACCGCGCGGTACAAATGGTCGTGCGTCCGACATGTTCATGTCGCCATCGTCTGTGGTTTGGGGAGTGAATGATTGACTCCAGTTTCCGCGGCCTCGTCCACGACCGCGACCTCTTCCACGTGGTGCCGACATGGTCCTGTGATCAAGTGTAAAAGCACCTAGGAGCGCTTTTGCAGTCTTGCAAGAAGTTTTGGTTCTTCTCAGCCTGGTGGTGCTGATGAACAAGCAGTCTCCTAGAGGGTTTATCCTTTTGGTGATAGGTTTAGTTCAAGTCCGCTTCATTTGCCCTGGTCAAGTGTGTGTCTGCAATGTTTTTCTGCGTTCGTCGTCGGTTTGTGTAAGTCGAGTGAGAGGGACCAGAGGGCAGACAAGTCTTCTTTAACGGGTTGGAGTCCGTGCACCGCCAAGCGAGCTGCCATGGATCTGATTGGCCAATATTCTTGGAACGTTCGACCTCGACCCAATGAGTCCTTTTGCATGAATACAAGTTCCACCTCTATTCACATCAGATTGCATATTCACTGCAGGCACCGTTTGAAACGATAATACTTGCGGAGAACCTGATCTAGCCTAGATATATTGTTGTCTTGATGCCTCCAGTACTATGGGCATTTCCAGGCTCCAGTTGGGTATCAATCTTGGACGGCAGCCTAATCATATAAATCGTACTGGTAATCACAGTCAGGTTTTTTCCCTTTACGGCTGGTCACGCTAGTTTTTCCGCTAGGATTTGAGATTTTGAAGAGTAAAGACAGGCCACACTTGACATTTGCTCACAATCAAACGAGACCCCCGGTAGTATAAAGCCTGCCGCTGGAAAATTAGAGCACTCTTTCTTAGTCCTACATATTATGAATGGGTCAAATGCTGTCTTCCAAAGGCAAAATGAGAACCCATTTTTCAGTCTTCCAGTATACATATCTCGTTTGCGAATACTAGTATGAGTACTATCCTCGGCTTGACAGCAACGCTTTGCAACTACTCTAACAGCGAGAGGATTCGAATGATTGGCTTGCATGAGTAGTGTGTGCGCATGTCTAAATACACACTAGCAACGCTTTCGTCACTGTATGCATAAACCCATCGAATGGTATGGTATGCTCAGACTTCGAGGGAATCGAGCATAGACCACTGATCCCAGAGACGACAACACCGGCGACCTAGGGGTTGCTTGCTTAGTGAACCCCCTTCTGCCCACCCATCCGACTGGAACGTACCGCACATAATTTATGTATATGACACCTTGCATATACTTGCCCAAAAGAATAGTCTATCCACTTCCAATTTGCGCCCTCCAGCTCACTCTTGATAATCCCATGAATCAACAACTTCCAATTCTTCACCTGTCCTTTAGTAACAGGCCAGCTGCTTCAAAGTCACCAATACACTTTAGTTGTCATAGCTGCTGTCAATGTTATCTGCACAATATCAATTTTAACCAGCAATTTAGTGGTAGCGAGACAGATCTAGAGACAATGGATCTGATCACGAACTGCGAGGATACCATCTTCACGGTTTCGTGGAGACGAGGGGGACACAAACGCTACTAGTCTCCTATGTGGATCGTCTGAACTTTGACCAAGGCGCTGTTAGGAAATTTTGAAACTACTCATGTGTAATATTGATAGTGTGTATGTAGAAAAGGTAATGCCAAACTCTCTCGCACAACAAGGGAAACAACAACAATGCGGACAGTCCACGCAACCAATAAGTCCAGCCACGAAAACCTGAAATTTTTCTTTTGGGCCTGAGGAGCAATTATGTCAATAGACATCATCCAGCTCTGATAGAAAACGAGAAAGCTTCTACGAATTGTGGAAACAGGAACTCAACCGCTCGAGGCTGAACATGTCTAACAAGAATGGCAATTCTAAAGGACCACGTGTCAACATATGCACAGCCTAACGCAGGGTTCAAGTAGTAATTACAGCTCTAGCAGGCGAGATGGGCGGGGGGCAAGCTACTTGGTCATACAAGTGGACGAGTAGTATATGTCGCAAGGAAAAAGTGCATGTTCGGTCATGTAATACGTCAGTACACGAAACGACAACAAATTGAACATGGAAGCGTAAAATTGTCTTCAAACCATTTAAAAAAAAGATGTAGTACACTATGTACATATTCCCCGCCCAATTTTGGCGCACGCTCGACTCTCTCAGCCAGAATCCAGTCAAACCCCCCAAAACAATGCAGTTCCCTATTGTTGCGAAATCAACCCTGTTTTATGCTCTTTCGCACTACCGGTCCACCTCGCCAAACACAAGATCAAGGGTGCCAATGATAGCCACAGCATCAGCAATCAAGTGTCCTCTTGAGATCTGGTCCATGCAGGACAAATGTGCGAATCCAGGTGCCCTAATCTTGCACCTATATGGTCTCTCGCTACCGTCTGAGACGAGGAAGACACCCATTTCTCCCTTGGGTGCCTCGATGCAGGTATAAGTCTCGCCAGGGGGGACATTGTAGCCCTTGCTGTAGAGCAAGAAGTGATGGATGAGAGCCTCCATGTTCTCCTTCATGGCGGCACGGGGCGGGGGCGCAATCTTGTAGTCCTCAACCTTGACAGGCCCGGCAGGCATTTGGTTCAAGCACTGGTGGATAATACGCAGAGACTGACGGAACTCCTCCATGCGGCAGAGGTAACGATCATAGCAGTCACCGTTGACACCTACAGGGACATCAAACTCGACTTGGTCGTAGGCATCGTATGGCTGCGACTTTCGTACGTCCCATGGCACGCCGGAGCCTCGGAGCATGACACCAGTGAAGGAGTAGTTGATGGCGTCGGCTGCCGAGACGACACCAATGCCCTTTGTGCGACCAAGCCAGATGCGGTTGTCTGTCAACATCTCCTCGGTCTCGTCGATGCGGTCACCAAATTGGGTAGCCCACTGGTAGATGTCATCCAGGAGACCGAGTGGCAGGTCCTGCGATACTCCGCCAGGGCGAACGTAGGCTGCATGGAGACGGGCACCGGAAACACGCTCGTAGAATTCCTGTCTGGATCAGTATGTAGACTTTCAAGACGTGTTACAGTACATGTACTTACCATGAGCTTCTCACGCTCCTCAAAGCCCCACAGGAAAGGTGTAAGAGCACCGACATCCATGGCGTGAGACAAGACTGACATGAGATGGTTGAGAATTCGAGTGATTTCGGCGAACATGGTCCTAATGTACTTGGCGCGGATGGGGATTTCAATATTGAGTAGCTTCTCGACGGCAAGCGAGAAGCACTGCTCATTGGTCATCATGGAGACGTAGTCGAGGCGGTCGAAGTAGGGCAGGGCCTGCAGGTACGTCCGGTACTCGATGAGCTTCTCAGTGCCGCGATGCAGCAGGCCAACGTGGGGGTCGGCGCGCACAATCTCCTCGCCATTGAGCTCCAGAATCAACCGCAGCACACCGTGGGCGGCAGGATGCTGGGGGCCAAAGTTGACCGTGTAATGCCGGATCTTCCTCGAGTCGATACTGTCCGCTTCCTCTGCAGCGTTCTCGGCGTTGGGCAGTTCGGGATCCACGGGGCCTGAAAAGTGTTCGTCCGTAGGCACCAGGCGAGTCCTTTGGCTCTCATCGACGGCGGCATATCTGCGAGGCAGCGAGGTGGATAAGCAGCGCGCAATGGGCCGGGAAGGGAGTGCAGTGCGGAGCTGGGGTCGGGAGGCGTTCACACACAGGCGCTTTGCCGTGTGGCCGGCCAGACGCGCAAAGGAGACGGGCATGGCGGTGGATCGCTGTCTCTCTCTCTCTCGAGCGCGTACGAGGCCTCAATGGGCGTTGAGAGGGGAGATGTCGGGCGTGGCGTGGGGAGGGGAGGTTGTCCATCAATCCACACAATCGATGATGCTACCAGATTGAGTCTACCGCCATTGGCCCGCACCCGATCTTGGCGCCCGCCCTCGTTGCTCGAACTTTTTGTCGCAGCCGAACTAAAGCGCTACCCACCAAGGATAGTCCAGACTCACATTGAACACCATCAACCCCCACAATCATGTCTACACCAAGTGCAGAGGCGCTGGCACAGCGAAAGGTAGGTCCGCGACTCAAGATATAAAGGTTTTCCATACTCATCTTCACTCCAGCTGCTTCAAGTAGGCACGGAAACAGTCGCCAACCAACAGTCTACAGACTTTCCCGGACACTGGCCAGGCGAGGACAATGAATGGGACCTAGAACACTTTAAAGAGGTATGTACCAGTCCTTAGCAGTCTAAGAGATAAGAATACTGCCTCTGAAACACCACATTGCCATGACTTGACTTGCGCTCCAATCACATACTGATAACTACATGTCCAGAACTTCAAAGTTCAATTCCACTCCCACAAGCCGTACGACACATCCTTCTCCCTCGTCTCAATCGACACTTCGGTCGCCAACGCCATCCGCCGCATCCTCATCGCCGAAATCCCCTCCCTCGCCATCGAAGACGTCTTCATCTACCAAAACACCTCCATCATCCAAGACGAAGTCCTCGCCCACCGTCTCGGTCTGATTCCCCTCTGCGGCTCCTGCGACGGCCTGCGCTGGATGAAATGGTTCCACAAAGCCACGGGTCTTGAAGACGGCAGCGGCACACAGTCCGACTACAACACCATCGTCCTGCGGCTCAATAAGAAGTGCGAGTGGCAGGATGGCGGCCTACAGCGAGCCGTAGCCGGCGAAACAGACCCGGACAAACTCTACATCAACCACAACGTCTACGCGCGCGACATGATCTGGGAACCCATTGGCCGACAAGCACAAATGTTCCCACCAGGCGCGGAAATCCGGTCCACCAACCCAGACATCCTCATCGCCAAGATGCGACCGGGCCAGGAAATCGCCCTCAGCATGCACGCCCACAAGGGCATCGGACAAGACCACGCCAAATTTTCCCCCGTCGCAACCGCCTCGTACCGCCTCCTGCCCACCATCGACATCACAGAGCCCATCACGGGCCCTGACGCCAAGAAATTCGCCCGCTGCTTTCCCCGCGGCGTCATCCGGCTCGACACCGTCACGGCCGCCCACATCGCCCAGGACCCTCGCCTCGCCGGCAAACAGGACGAGTCCCTGGCCGTGGTCGAGGACCCAATGAACGACACCGTCAGCAGGGAGTGTCTGCGCCACCCAGAGTTCAAGGATAAAGTCAAGCTCGGGCGTGTGCGCGATCACTTCATCTTTCGGATCGAGAGTACGGGTCAGTGGGAGAGCGACGAGCTGTTTTTGGAAAGTGTAAAGTTGTTGCGGGTCAAGTGCCAGAGGATTAAGAGGGGGTTGGATGAGATGATGAAGTAGACTTTTTTTGGTTTTTGTGGTTTCGAATTTTTGGGGGGTTGTCTTCTTTTTCTTTTTTCTTTCAAAGGTGAGAAGAGGAATAGAAGCGATAGGGTGATGATGATACCGTGCATTGGGTCCTGGCGTTCACTTTTCAAAAAACGGGCTGGGCATTCTCATTTAGGCGCTGATGGGACATATTTTCCAGGGCGAAAGAGAAAAAAATCAGTTCTGCACGATATCATAGGCCGGGCGCGCGTACTTGTTTCTTTTCCATTTGTTCTCATCAGAAAGCCGGAGTTGAGTTGTATTTCCAATGTATTTCGACACTAGCTGCCTTTCGACATGACTGAAATCTAGTCTCTGTTGATTTCCTTCCGAGTGACTACTTGATGGAACGTGAGAGCATACAAGATATGCCATTTAGGATGGAAAGATTTGTCCTGTTCTACTAATACACATGTGTCTTAGACTTGACTTTGATTGTTTGGTTTGCTCAAGGGGAATGAGCTCCAGGAGAAGTGAAGTGAAGGGAAGTGGTAGTACAGCAGAGAAAATCAAGTCGTTGGTGTAGTGTATCCAGGCTGAGAGGATACGAGGTGGGGGATATCATGCAATACAGCAAGGAGGAAGAAAAGAAAAGCAAAGTACAAAAAAAAGAAATACTGCAGACCGACAAGTCAAACCCGCCTTCTTCCTCAAGCCGAAAATAAGATAGAAAAAACCAAAACAGAAAGTGTCCATCCCTCATAAAAAAAGCACCAGGCTTAGACTGACTCTCGTACAATCGTCTCGTCATCATCATGACACACACCAGCCCCCAAAAATCCAACCCATCCGACAAAACAAAAATAACCCAAATTCGCACTACGCCAACTCAGCCAGAACGTCCCCACACAACCTCCTCACACCCTCAGGATCAAAGCGTTGCCTAAACACGCGATTCCTTCGCATCTGCCTGACACGGTCGGCGTCGGCGCCATCCATGGCCATGCTGGCGCGTGTCTTGTCTCTCAGCGCAGAAGTCGTTGGCGGGGGTGGGGGCGGCAACAATGATGATGAGGATGAGGACGGGTTGGGAGAGGGAAAGGCAAAGCGCACGGTTTGTACGCTCGTTTGCTTTTTGAGGGTGCGGACGCTGGTGAGGTGGGCGTTCAGCAGGGTGAGGAAGGTTGAGGTTTGTGAAGCTAGGGGATTGGGGGTTGGGATGGAGGTGTTGTTGTTATCGTTGTCATCTTGGTACTCGTACGTGGTGTAAGAAACAGGGGATGAAGGCGCGTAGGAGGATATGTAGATTGTGTTGTGTTGGTCTCCTGCTTTGGATCCGCTGCTCAAGTCATCTTGCGCGCTGGGTGGGCGAGGAAAATGGAAACTCTCTCCGCTTTTGTGCGCATCATACTTGTCCTCATCGTCGCGTCCGTAGCCATAGGATGTTGCGCTACTCGCTGCGCTGGCTGTGGAATCAAAAGAGCCTGTGCTCGAGGAGTGTCGCTTCCAGTGCTGTGAATGGCGGAAGGTAGGAGAGTCGGGGGCGTTGTTCTGGTCCTCTTCCTCCGCTCTACCGGGGATTGGAAGAGGCTTGAGGGCGGCAATGGCTGCGAGGTAGTGTTTCTCTGCAAGGGTGAGCTCTTTGTGGCGGTTCTTTAGGGTGGCTTCCCGAGCGAGGGTGTCGTGAGATAGGGCGGTGTAGAAGTGTAGATAGGTCAAGTGGATAGGATGGATTTGCTGGATATCTCGTTAGCCATTACTCCATCTCACGCTGGCGTCGAGGCCGTGTCCTGGGCGAGGAGGTGGAGATTGCATACCTTTTCATTCGTCATGGCGAGCAATTGCTCTGCGAACTTTGCGCACTGCGTATAGTGTCGACTATGATACAGATCTTTGACATTCTGCATCTTCGTCCTGAAGTTTTGAAACCGCGCGTCCATGTTTAATGGTGGAGTTGACAAAGGTATTCCTTCGTTGTTGTTCCTCTTATCAAGCCAAGGGAGGTACGGTAGGTACTGCTTGCAAAGAAGCAAAGCTTTGATGGAGCGGGTCTTCAAAAAAAAGCACCCGATAAATTCGCTCAACCAGGGTCGTTGGATCCAAAAGCAATGTTGTTGAAGACGATGGTCCCTATTGTACAGCCGTCCTTGTCCAGGGAACGGTGATCTGACACCCCCACAGTCACACTACAAGTATCGATCTGCAAGCTACACTCGTGTTCGGACCGTAGATGAGACCCACTAGATGGAGGAGCTATTTTTTTCCGCTTTAGAGTTTCGACTGTCGAGAACAGCAAGTACAGGCGCGGTATGTACCTAAGAGGGAGCAGGATGCCAGGGTAGATGCCAGCTCTTGCAAAAGTAAAAGAGTAAAAGGGAAGAAAAAAAAAAGAAAACGGGGTGCGACTTTCCAGCAGCGCGCCTTCCTCAAGAAATGCGGAAAAGAAAACGAGGGAAATGACAAAAGATGGCTGGCCGGGGGTGGACGGTTGGAAAGGCTGGATGAGGGAAGGACCATGGGCAGGCAAGGTCAAGGTAGCCACCGTCCATGTATCAGATACCCTCCGCACTTGCACTCCCACCAGGTTAGACGACACATGCAGAAAATGGCTTCCCTCCCTCCCTCGACGCCAAACTAATGATGCACACGCCTCGAACCGCCTCGAACTGTTGGCCTTGGTGCCTGACACCCTAGATAACCCCAGGCCAGAAGTCATGAGAACTCAGAGGCGCGATTGTTTCCAAACCTGCATGTGCGTTTCAACCCTCCCCCAAGGTCTAGCGCCCCCGCCTTACCGCCCAAGGCTTAGCCTGTTCGTGCCGGGCCAACCACGCTCCCAAAAGGTCAGGCTACCCCCTGCGTGTGAATGTTACTGTACGCCACATAGCCCATTGTATACTTTGGGCAGATGGAATGGAGTAGAGTAGAGAGCATGTCGGGCCAGCGCTGTTGGTGTCGGCTGTCACTCTGGCTGTGTGAACCAGATCCACATGTCCTTTTTTCTTGTACCTTGCACAAGGTTCCGCGTTCGACGACATGTCGCATCTGCTTCGTTGCCATGGTATGCATCACATCCACTACTCTATGAAAAGCGACTGGTGCAACCGGTTTGGGAACGGGTGCATGGCATGGGTGGTGCATTGGGCCAGGGAGGGACAGCGAATGGGTCCAAGGGGCGACAGAGAGTTGCAACTTGCAGCAAGACCGCAAAGTAAGGCCGGCTAGACCTCTTCGATTTCCTGGTTGGATCACAGCATGTACCGAGTTCATGTACCTACTACACATGTGCCCCTAGCCTGCTGTCACACCCAGACCGTCCATCTGAGACGCCACACACATCACCTGCCTGTCTGCCTGATCGGCAGCCTGCTGTGTACTATGGTTCCCTATAGCCAGGCCTGGTTGCGAGTCACGGCATCTAATCATGTTTGACTTTGTCAGAAGAGATCCATTTCACCTGGTCTGTACAATGTATCACAAACTCCCAACGTCGGAGAATTGCCGTCTTCACAAACGAGTTATCCACAGATGCATATTCTACAGGACCCACATGGGAAATAGAGCCAGATTTTCCTTCACGTCAAAGTCTACCATGCCCCCAACATGCTTAACCTTCCGACGCAGCAGCACCAGTAATAATCTCGACAAGTTCGCCAGTAATGACGGCTTGGCGAGTTCGGTTGTACAGAATCTGGAACTTGTTGATCATATCACCAGCGTTCTTGGAAGCGTTGTCCATGGCGTTCTGGCGAGCAGAGATCTCGCAAGCGTGGCCCTCGGCAAGTGCCTGTCAAACGATTAGTACAAAGCATGGTCCGAGCCATCACCATCAGCTACGCACCCAGAACAACGAGTTGGCAAGGGCGTACTCGCGGAGGTTCGGGAGAGCCTCATCCTCGATCTCGAAAGCCGAGAAGTTGGCTGTGCACAGTTAGAGGATATCTCCATTGCCACGTGACCACACATACCAGACTGAGTGATGGCCTCCTCCGAGTAGGCCTCGATGTCGGTAGCCTCGTAACTTCCAGCGTTGATGAACTTGTTGTAGACAATCTTGATCGAGTCGTACTTGGTGGGGAGCATGGCAATTTGGTCGGCAATGGTGAGCGAGTCGACAAACGTAGGGACGTCCTTTCCGGCACCAGAGAAGCTGAGAACCATGTTCTTGGCGTTGTTACGGCCCAATTGCGCCTTGCACTTCTCGCCAATGACGGCCAGATCAGTCTCGGGAGTCTGAGCCAGCATGCCCCTGACCTTTCTCGACAGTCCAGAGTGAACACCACCGCAGAGACCCTTGTCGGAGCTGCAGACAATGATCAAGGACCGCTTTCCGTCGCCCTCGAGAGTCTTGGTCTCGGCGCTCTCGAAGACGGCGTTGGAGGCCTGGCCGTATCTGCGGGACTCGGCCATGGCCTTGGTGGCGCGGTTGAGCTTGGTGGAAGCGACGACCTTCATCGTCTTGGTGATCTTCTCGATGTTGCGAATCGACTTGAGACGGCCCTCGATTTCACGGAGGGTGGCATAGCCGGCGGCATTGGTGGCAGTGAGGGTCGCAGGCCTATAGCCACAGATATGGTCAGCAATGGATACAAGGGACAATTCAATGGCAATGGCAATGGCAATGGCAATGGCTCCGGCAGCGGCGGGCGCAAGAAAAGCTGCCAAACGAGGGGGGCAGCGTACCGGGCGGCGGCGGCGGCCATGCCAGCCCTGAGAGCCGGGCGCGCAGCTCGGGACAGCATCATGGCGGTGGAGATGGAGATGAGGGAGATGGGCGACAGCCGAGTGGTGGTGCTTCACTGCTGTCTTTTGCGTGAACGGGTAGCTCTTGTCGGGCATCCGGGATGCTGAATTGCTTTGCACGCTCGGACCGCCAAGTGGTTATCACGTGGCCGCCCCCCCCCCCTCCACCTACATACGGGGGAAATCGCGCTGGAGGCCATTGTCGAAGCAGCGTCGTCTTTGACCTGGAATCACTGGCAAGTTTGGTGAGACGGGCCTCTTGCGGTACCGTCGCAGGTTTCGAGGTAAAAAATCGGCCACTTTGTTGTTCGCATTCATGGCTGGCCTGCAATGGACATAGGCAAGAGCGCGCGCCATCATACCGGTAAGAGATCAAGCGGCAAGCGACATGGAGTTAGCCATCACCATCATCATCGACCCGAGCAATCAGCCAGACCGATTTTCACTCTCATCAGCGTCAGTCTGACAATGCTTTGGTCCCTGTGATTGTTTGCATAAAAGCCATTGTAAAGTCAAACGCAGCCCTGCAGGTGATGTGGCAACGTATTCGATACCACAATCGACTAAACTTATCGGTCGCTCGATTTTGGTGAAGGCCGACGCACGGTTGCGCCGAGTCGACTTGGTCGCGGAAAGGCTCCCTGCCTAACGCTTCACTTCGCTCCAGCATTCCTCTTCTCTCGCTTCATCTCGCTCACCTGCACCCACCGTGCTCCCTTCACCTACCCAGATTCACCTCCCGCCGTCACTGTGTGGTTGTCTCGCCTTTCCTCTCGCCTGCTGCGATCACCGCAGGCCCGCTCATTTGCCTCTGCAAGAGCTCGCGGTCCTGCTCCAGACAAAGGCCAATACATCTTCACTACCTTCCATTACTCGCGGCCCCAGCGCACGCGCCTCGCAGTGAAGATGTCTTCGTCTGATGATGATCAACCGCTCGCAAAGGCAAACAACCAGGGTGAGTCTAGCTGAGTGAGCGAAACTCAAAAGTCCCGCGCTTAGGGCGGTCTCCTGCGCGCCGATTGCTTTCACCTACTGTCCTCTACATAAGATCCTTCGCTTCTCACCCGTCGCTGCTCGACCACGTTTCCTGCACACGACTCTTTGCGCTCATTGCTACAAAGTAAACATGGCTAATCAACCAGACACAGCGAAATCAAACGAGCGCATCAGTAAAGAAGAAGATCGCAAGATGGACGCCGAGATTCCATCGAATCCTGACGTCGAGCCGGGCATTTCCATCCGCATGGGCCCAGTCGACGACATGGATGTCGATGCGCCAGCGACCAACGGCCATGGCAACATGAATGGCAAGCGCAAGGCACGCACTAGCGTCACCAATGGACAGTCGTACAAGGACGCCAGCACTTCTGAGGATGACGATAAGCCACTGGTAGGTCATTTCCTCGTCGCCTTCCTATCCATGCGCTGATAGTGTGACAGAGCAAGCGGCGGCGGACCACACCCAAAGCCAACGGCCGCAAAGATGGCTCAGACTCGGAACTTAGCGATGCTCCCCTCAAAGCACGCGCCCTCCCAAAGGCGAGCGCTGCGCAAATTGGCGAATCGTCTGACTCAGATGTGCCCTTGACCACCAAACTCACCAAGAAGAAGGTGGAGATCGAGAAGGCTGCAGATAGGGACGCCAAGACGATGCGTGCAAAAGACAAGGCAGCACCCAAGCGGAAGACCAAGGTCGAAAGCGATAGCGATGACGATGTTCCACTTGCAAAGAAGAAGGCACCCGCTAAGAAAGTAGCGGTTAAAAAGGCGAATGGTGTCAAGAAGGAGGAGTCCGACTCTGATGCGCCCCTAGCCAAAAAGCCATCTGCAAAGAAGGCCAAGACGGCTGCGGCGACACCTGTTAAGAAAGCTGCCGCCAAAGGCAAGGCGAAGAAAGAGGAGACTGAGCAGGATGAGGAAGCTGAGAACGATGAGGACGAATACCGCTGGTGGGAAGATCCTGGCAAGAGCGACGGTACCAAGAAATGGGATACGCTCGAGCACAACGGAGTCGTGTTCCCGCCCGAGTACGAGCCATTGCCCAAGCACGTCAAGTTTGTCTACGACGGAGTGCCACTCACTTTGCACAAAGACGCTGAAGAGGTTGCGACATTTTACGGAAGCATGTTGAACTCTACACACAACGTCGAGAACCCCACCTTTAACAAGAACTTTTTCGAGGATTTCACCGCCATCCTGAATAAGACCGGACATGGCAAGGACAAGGATGGAAAGACCATCAAGATCACTAAGTTCGAGAAGTGCGACTTCAAGCCTATCTTTGAATGGTTTGACAGCGAGCGGGCCAAGAAAAAGGCTTTGCCAGCAGCAGAGAAGAAGGCTTTGAAGGCCGAGAAGGATGCGGCAGAGGCACCCTACATGTACTGTATATGGGATGGCCGCAAGCAGAAGGTTGGCAACTTTCGCGTTGAACCTCCAGGTCTGTTCCGCGGTCGTGGTGAGCATCCAAAGACGGGACGTGTGAAGAAGCGTGTTGCGCCAGAGCAAATCACGATCAACATTGGCGAGAATGCAAAGGTTCCCGAACCCCCTGCGGGCCACCGCTGGAAGGAGGTCAAGCACGACCACGAGGGTACATGGCTCGCTATGTGGCAAGAGAACATCAATGGCGCCTACAAATATGTCATGCTTGCAGCCAACTCGGACGTCAAGGGCCAGAGTGATTACAAGAAGTTTGAGAAGGCGCGCGAACTCAAGAAGCACATTGACCGCATTCGCAAGGATTACCGGAAGGATCTCAACTCGAAGATGATGGCAGATCGTCAGCGTGCTACAGCCATCTACCTGATCGATCAGTTTGCTCTTCGTGCCGGTAATGAGAAGGGAGAGGACGAGGCTGACACGGTCGGTTGCTGTTCCCTCAAGTTCCAACACATTACCCTCAAGCCTCCGGAGACGGTCATTTTCGACTTTCTGGGTAAAGACAGTATTCGGTTCTACGATGAAGTCAAGGTGGACCCGCAAGTCTTCAAGAATCTCAAGCTGTTCAAAAAAGAGCCCAAGACGACTGGCGACGACATCTTCGACCGTCTGACCACTTCGGCCCTGAACAAGCATTTGAACAGCTACATGACCGGTCTTACGGCCAAGGTCTTCCGTACCTACAACGCTTCATACACAATGGCTCGGCTTCTCAAGGAGATGAAGGCGACTGGTTCCATCCAGGAACGAGTCAAGGCTTACAACGATGCGAATCGAGAAGTTGCTATTCTATGTAACCACAAGCGTACTGTTGCTGCGAGTCACGCCACGTCCATTGAGAAGATGAACGAGAAGGTAAGGTTTCATTATATCCTTGTTCATTGCCACATGCTAACAAGAATAGATTAACGGTCTTCGTTATCAAGCTTGGCGGACCAAGATGATGATGATTGACGTTGACCCCAAGATCAAGAAGAAGAAGGGCGCAGAGTACTTTGAGCGTCCCGCAGACCTCGACAGCGAGTGGGTCAAGCAGCACCAAGAAGCCGAGGTCGAGGAGCTCCGACAAAAAATTACCAAGAAGTTTGAAAAGGACAATGAGAAGCTCGCGGCCGACGGCGAAAAGCAGATGAAGGCCAAGGAATTGGAAGAGCGTCTGGTTAAAGTCAAGGAGCTGGCGGCCAAGTACAAGAAGGAGAACAAGACAGGCAAGGTCGAGGCCGAGGGCAAAGGTCCGACGGTCGAGAAACTCGAGGCCAATGTGGAGAAGATTATGCAGCGTATTGAGACGATGAAGATTCAGATGGAGGACAAGGAAGGGAACAAGGAGGTTGCCCTGGGCACGTCCAAGATTGTAAGTCCACTTTTCTTTTCACTGCCCTTTTTTTCACCCACCCACACACATGTGCAAAAGACTTGCTAACGCCGGGACGGTAGAACTACATCGACCCCCGCCTCACCGTCGTCTTCTCCAAGAAATTCAACGTGCCGATTGAGAAGTTCTTCTCCAAGACGCTGCGTGAGAAGTTTGACTGGGCTATCAAGTCTGTGGATGAGGATTGGGAGTTTTAGAGCGTACAAGGGGAAGACCGTGTCTGTGTGGGAGACAGAGCGAGAAAGAGAGAGGGGAAGGAAACAAACATGGGTATGTGGACGGCGATGCAGACGGCGATTTATTCCTAGCAAACCATCTCTTGCCCACGTCCTGCTCTCTTCTTCCCTCCGTCCCTTCCCTCCCTCCCATCAGCGAAAACATTTCTTTTCCATGCGTTTGCAAAACGAGACTCGAGAGATGCATGGGTGAATCGGCTGCACTTTTTTTTCTTACTCTTTTTGGTATTCTTGTCTTCTTTTCTTTACTTTTCTTTTATATATGATGGGTGGGTTATATGCTGCATTCTATGACGAATATGGGTTGCTGGGTCGGTTGCAGTCTGAGGGTGGGGATATATATCTCTATATAGATATATATATAGATGTGGGTGGATGGGTGTGGGTGTGTACTTGATGTCTAGCCCCATGGGTCTATCTGGTTAACCGGTACACGGTGGAGGTGGAGATGGAGGTGGAGATGGAGATGGAGATGCAGGTGAAGATGTAGTTGACAATACAATATGAACTTTGCCCGTTTGATTTCTCCTGCTGTTCTTCTTTGCTGTGTCTTTGTTGGTGTTGGACTTGCTTTTTGGATGTGGGGGTTTGGGCGGGTGTGCGTGGGGTGCTGGGGGTCTTGGGGTGGTGGGTGTCAAGTTAGATTAGCGGTGTTGGAAGGATGGATGCGTGGATGGATGGACGAATAGAGAAGGGAGAGGTTGGTGTCTTCTCGCTTGGACTGGTTATACCGTCTTTCTCTTCTGGCGGGAGCTGTGGGGTTTACATGGCTGTGAGTTTGGGTGGTGTTGTGGCACTGTGTGGATTTGAGGTGGATACTCTGTTTGTTTGTGCATGGCATGGCCACTAGATGTCTATCATGAACGTCAACGGTTTGACTGGAGCCGAGTGTGACATGGACGATGCGTTCGCATTCAGTTCTCTGGTCGTGGCGTCGAGCGAGCCAGAAAGAACAGTCGGGGAGAAGTGCCCCTGAGTGGTTTTTGGGCAGTCATGCGATGGTTGTGTTGACCCAAGCCCTCTGTTCACACCTTTCGACCTTTCCTACCTCACAACCCCGCCGCCAGGGTTCCGGCAGGCGCGGGAGCGTGCCGTGAACCACACACACCTCGGTCATCACCCGTCTGCGGTCTTCCAATGGTCATCTCGCCGGGACAAAAGGGTCTGGTTCGGTGTGAATGGCTGGGTGCAGCGATGCATGTACCTTTTGTCTACGGTACGCATGTTTGTACATTGTACCGAGCCATCTATATGGCGTACTTTGCAGTCCTCGCTGTGTTGTTGCTGCAGAGGACAAAGGCTGCGCAGACGTCATCGGGCCTGAGAGAAGGCTAGAAGGGCGGGCGAGTGGCTGAAAGGGGAATAGAGGGGACACAAGGAGAGTAAGAGTAGGAAGTATGGTGTGCACAGGAAATGGACTGATGACTCCAATCTTACCTTGCCGAGGGCGTGGGTGGGAAAGTCACGAGTGTCAGCCTGTCTCCTACACTCCCCACAAGTACTAGGCATACTCTAGATAGGTCTTGTATGTGAACAGACTCCCCAGCGTGAACAGGTCGGATCGATCAGCGCCTCAGGCGAAGCGAACTACGGAAAAAGGAATTGCGTCGTTCAACCTTGCGGAAGCGGACCACGATGGCGTGCATGTCTTCTTCAGCCACACACAAGTCCCCCGCCCATCAATCTACTTGTCTACTACTCTACAATGGAGAAACCCTTTGCACACAGACAGGCCTTCTTGCTGTGGCCGCCCTTTCTGCTGCCCAACTTCAACGGCTTTTTTTTTCTTTCTGCTGCTGACATTCTTGCTTTTAATTTCATTTTCTACATCTCTTTGCTGAGCCTGAGCGTCTTTGGCTGGCGATAAGGGGAAGTGGTAGTAGCAGCAGCAGCAGTAGCACATAATTCTTCTTTATGTATCACTCTCTACTGGCCTGACTCCCCTCCCTGCATCTCCCTGAGTCGCGCATATTGGAAGCGAGCTATATGACATCGCTGCCCTGCTGCCGCGGCACTGCACCAAGCACCCACACACGTCAAAGCCCCCCCCCCCCCCTCCCCCCATCCCCCCATAGAACTACAACGCCCTGTTGCTTGTACCCCATTCACCCACTGCACTGTGCCCATTGGAATACGAGACCCGTCTGTCGTCTTGCCCTGCTGCTTCATCGCACCCTGCAAACAACCAGCGCACCTCCCTCCCCCTTAGCCTTTCCCTCTCAAACCGTCGCGATTAGAGTACATTACCGTAGCAAGCACACCCAGTACAGAACAGAGAATACATACACGGTACGAGACCCGCCCGTCAGCAGCCTGATTCGCCGCCCGCTCCTCCGCTCGATTCCAGCGGGACGGTCTGAGCGCTGGGCTGCGAGCCTGATCAGCACACGCTCATCTCCACCCACAAACCCCCCCAGTGTTGTTGGTGTTTACTGTACAGCACACCGCCCGTCCACGGCGCCTGCGAAATCTGCCTAGCGACTATCCAGCCCACACGAACTCCCCTCTGGACTTGTGCGCACGTGTGAAAAATATGGCTGCCGAACCAGCCGCTGCGACGGCGACGACCATGACGACGACGACAGCAACAACGACAACGACGGGAGAGAAGCCGTCGGTCTTGATAATAGGAGGGTTGGGTACGTACACACAGTACATGGGCGCTGACCTGGCCCTGTGTTTTCATTCCCTCTTTCCCTATCTCTCTCCCACACACACTCCCACACACACTCCCACACGCACATGCACACGCACACCCTCTCTCTCTCTCTCTCTCTCTCTCTCTCTCTCTCTCTCTCTCTTCAACAACAGGGGTACTGATGACACCTCTCAGGCTACACCGGTCGATACCTCACAAAGTACCTGCACGACAACAACCTCGCCTCGGAAATCCGCATCGTCGACAAACAGTTGCCAGAGCTCTCATGGCTCGCTCCAGAATTCAAGGAGGCATGTTCAAGAGAGCGCTTCATACAAGCAGACGCCGCGCAAGAAAGTGCGTTCCACCTGCCCCTTTCTCCTCAAACGTCACCACCGCCGTACGATGACGACGACGACAACGACGACGAAGAGAAAACTGGCTAATAAGCTCACCCACCTACAGGATCCCTCCCTCGCATATTCGACCGTGAAAACGGCAAAGAGTTCGACTACGTCTTCAACTGCGGCGGCGAGACCCGCTTCTCGCAAGAGGAAAAAGTCTATGAACTCCGCTCCCACGGCCTCTCCCTCGCAATCGGCCGCGAATCCGTCAAACGCAAGATCAAATGCTTCGTCGAGCTCTCCTCCGGCATGGTCTATAAACCCGATCAAATCCCTCGTAAAGAAACCGACAAGCTGAAACCGTGGAACAACAAGGCCAAGTGGAAGCTCAAGGCCGAGGAAGACTTGGCCAAGATGGAAGGGCTTAATCTGCTGATATTCAGATTGCCAAATGTATACGGTCCCTATACCAAGACCTTCTTGTCCACCATGTTGTGCATGGCGCGCGTCTATCAGAGCAAGGGCAAGGAATTGCGTTATTTGTGGAAAGAGGATCTAAGGACGAATACGGTGCATATTGAAGATGTGGTGAGAGCACTGTGGCATGGTGCAAACTGGTACACCAAGGGTCCTCAGGCGAGGAGACCGGCGCCAACGTTCAATCTAGTAGATCATGGAAACACTTGTAAGAACGCCTTGCTCCGCATCACGAGAGTCTTGGTTGGCTGACAGGTTGGCTAAAGCGCAGAGACACACATCCATCATCATGCAAGAAATTTTCGGCATTGGGACCGGCTTCCACGGCACGCTCATCTCGGCCTTTGCACGGCTTAATCTCGATCACGTCGTGGATGAGGTCAATGACGAGACACTAGATCCCTGGGCAGAATTACAGCAAAAAGCTGGCATTCAGCAATCGACACCGCTAAGCCCGTTTATGGAGAAGGAATTACTGCGAGACATGGATCTGAGTTTGGATGGCAGTGAATTTGAAAAGCAGACGGGATTCAAGTAAGTAGCCCGTAGCTCAGCAGCCGAAACAGCAGCCGGAGACAAGAATCTTTACTAACATGAACGTAGATACAAGCACGAGAAATTGACCAAAGAAGGCGTTGAGGAGGTCATTGAGAGCTACAAGAGGATGAATTGGTGGCCGTGAAGAAAACACCTCGTCCAAAACACGCCTTTGATCCTATTCCGTCCCAAATCACAGAGAGAGAGAGAGACTGGGAACTCACCACAAACTTGTATCCACGCACACATATTCTCGACGCTCTCACGACCTGGCCCTCTCCCACCTTTCTCGCTACGACCCATGCACATACATTCCCCCTTATACCCCACCTTCCTCGAACCTTCGCCACCCATTCACACATCCATCGCCACGCCATGCTTTCAGGTCCTTGCATCTACCTATCTGCCTCCACGCATCAAGCGGGAGCCCTTTTTTCTTCGCTTTCGACGATCCGAGCCATTTTCGCATCTACTATGTAGTCGTCTAGTTTCTTTTGTCCGGTTTTGTGTATATCTTCCACACCCCCTCTTACTCTGAGTATCTTGTTCCCTTCCCTTTTTTTTCTGTTATCTTGGTTTTTTTCTCCGTAGTTTTTCCTGTTCTTGATATTCAATCTTTGTATCTGTCTTTGTGTGTATCTATGTGTGTGTGTGTGTGTGTGTGTGCGTGTGGTCTCTCGGTTATCTTGGTTGTCTCGAGTTGGGATGAAAAGGTCTTTCGAGATAGGTATACACTGGGTTTTTTATTTCATACCTATTTTTGCTTTTGCTTCTGTGTCTTGATTCGGCTTGGTTTGCTGCCCCCGTGTTCGAGGATTGGGGGGGCGGGGGCGGGGCATGGTTGTTGGGGGTGGAGCGGTAGTGGAGCGTTGGTTTAGTGGAGCTGGTGCCTCGGCTCTTGGTAGTGGGCTATTTTCCTTGTTATTGCTGGTGGCAATATGGTGGGAGTTTGAGTTGGTTTGGGGAGGGCTGGTTGGTAGTGGTGGCGGTAGTGGGAGTGGGAGTGGTAGTTGCACGCGGAACTTTAGTATTGGGTTGGGTTGGGTTGGGTAGTATTTATATGCAGAAGAAAGTTATATTTGTAACCCACCCCAAGGAACAGTTCAGAAAGTTGGCATGTTGGTGTGAATAGCAAGCGTTGGTATGGCGTTTTTTTTGTGTAAGTTTCTCATGATGCAAGCAGACTTGTGATGAAATTGTGAACTCGCCTTGCGGGACCTCGTGCATTGTATAGGGATGTGAAGTTTGCTTCGACTTGTATCTAAACATTACACTCGACAACTACAATGTACAAGTGATGATCTTCTTGGACAGTTCCACCACCAGCAATTACTCCTCAGAGCTCACAACATATACATAGACTTTCCCAAATCAATCACCACATCCCAGACCTACCTACCTACCTACCTACCTACCTACCTACCCAGCCTACTCCTTCTTCACCACATTGCCAAAGTCCCAATCATTCAAATAGCCCGAGCCAACCTATGCACGTCAGTCCCATTCGCATTCGCGTGCACGGAATCATGAAAAAGAAAGAAAGAAAACAAAATACTAACGCAGAGATAGGTTGCGAAGCCGAGCCAGGCCATGTATGGGCTCAATAGCCATCCGCAGGTTGGATCTACTTGGCCCCAGATGTTGGTTAGGCAGGCGACGGTGCCGCCGAGGGCTAGGATGTCAATGGTGGCTGCGATGGGTCGGCCGATGCCGAAGTAGAGGGGGGTCCAGAGGAGGTTGAGGGCGAGTTGGAGGGTGTAGAGGGTTGCGCCGTGCTGTTGTGTGAATTGGTTAGTCATGTGACCGTCACAATGAGGTGAATGTACCGGTGCTGTCTGGTGGTAGGCTGGGGTGTGTAGCTGGTTACCTTGGCAAGAGCAACGGTCTGAGGGTTCATCGAGGAAGTGCCCGTCGTGTATGCGCGATAGGCTGTATAGCCCATGGTCGCATACAGCGCTGTCCATACTGGGCCGAAGACGTAGCCGGGTGGGTGCAGGGGTGGCTGCTTGAGCGCGCGGTAGGATCGCTGGGAGGCGCTGGCTGCACAGACATGATGCTGTCAATGGGGGGAGCTGGCCAACACAAACATCACAGGCGTTCTACTTCACAATCGCCAGTGTAGTATATTTGGAGTGCGTGTGGGACTTACGGCTGATGGCGAAGCCGGTTGCTGTGCCACAGACGACGGGCAGCAGGATGGCGACGGCTGGGTTCTCGAAGAAGAAGCTTGGTAGTGTTAGGCTGGGGATGTGGCTTGTCATGATGGTGATGGGGGGTTGGGGTGCGCAAAGTGTCCCAATGGCTAGTTGGCTGCTTTGACAGAGGATTGAAGTTTGGTTTGCGTTGCAGCGACGTCTCCGTAAGAAGCATGTCACGGTGGATGTTGTAGAGTGCCCCCACCGTCGAGCCGCGTACGCGCAAAGGCACGCACGCAGTTCGCGGCGTCGAGCAATGATTGATGATCCACTTGCCGTCGCCGTCCATCCATCCATCAATGACCATCACTTGACCAGGCCCCCAGGCTTCCGCCGCTCCGTGTTTCCTGTGTCCATTCGTTCCTTGATGCCGCGCTAGCCCTGTTTCACCGTCTCGGCGCGTTCCAGCCGCAGTATCCCCAACCTCACCTATTCACTCGCTCCCGACCGCTCTCTTTCCCATCTCCACAACCTCCGCAGGCATCGATTTGCCCGGGAGACGCTTTCAGCACACTGTGAGTGCAATAGCTTCTCGTCTTGTTGCAGCATCCCCTTGTTCGTACCCTTTTCCCTCTTGTACCGCCATCACCCCAGCAGCTCTCATAGCTCTCCTTAGCTCTCTGTTCTCGCGCTCATGCGGCTCCGGCCTCGCTCAGCTGCCTCTCCGCTGAGCTGACCTCTTCCTTTCTTATCGCGCTGCCTGCATGTGCTCTCAACCGCATCGCACACACTCGCCTTCCTGCCGCCTTTTTTTGTGGCTGCGTTCTTCTTTGCTCGTTACTAACGCGCCTCTGCCCTCGTCTTCTTGTCTCTTGTTTGTTCCCTCTCTGACGGCGCCATCATGGCAAACAGCTACCCGCCGCGATTGCCTGTCGTCCACCAACACCCACCCCCAATACAGCGCATTCTCCCCCGGCGAAGAGAAAGCGACGTCCCAAGCAAACGCCCTCGACGTGTCCTGCGCTCAGAGTGGAGTCGTCCGCGCATGCGAACCTCCTAAAGGCCGTTAGCCTTGGCCCCATCGCCACTCGATCGTAGCATCTACACCCGCTCTGGAGAACTCCACTGAGCCAACGCAATGGACTCCTACATGTACGTTTGTCATGCTCGCTTTCTGTGCAGACTGTCATCCAGTGCTGACGAATCTAGCAGGACGCACGAGGACTCTAGGCCGCCGGCCGACGCGTACCGACGACGCTCTCCTGGTAGGTTTCAACAAGGTCACAGCAGACCAGAACAACTTCTGTCTCGATGCAGAACAGTATGACTGACGAGAACCGTAGGCCCAGGAGACCGCAGAGCTCCCCGACGTCGCTCACGCTCGCCCCAGAACATTGATCGCTATCAGCCAGATCGAGCACGCGATTACGATGGCCCACGTCGCGATGGCGGCAGACGACGTTCCTCGCCTCCGCCACTGCAGGCTGGCATCGATCGCTACGTTCCAGGCCAGGACAGCTTCGCACCGACCTTTACGACGAACCCGATCACAAACCCGATGAACCTGGAATATCAAGTTGGTTTCAATTACTTTGCTGAGTGGTGGCGCGTCGAGCAAGTCATGAAGGAGGAGAAGGAGCGTGCCAAAAACGGCGGTCGCAAGCCAGTCCTCAAGGGCGATCGCGAGGCCCGCGAAGAGCGCACAAAAGAGCGCGAGCAGATTCAGGCTGCATACGACGAATACAAGGAGAAGCTGCAGGTGCAAATGGCCAAACATTTTGTTGACAAGCATAAAGGCGAGGAATGGTTCAAGGAGCGCTACGATCCTGACTACGACCTCGCCTTCAAGGAAAAGCTGCGGAATTACCGCCACAACATCTACACTGACTGGGAGCGCCAGCTGGAGGAGGGTTATTATGACGAATTTACGCTCGAGGGCATCTACAAGAACGATTCGAACGGCGCTGGGGGTATTGTGGAGAAGGAGGAGGGCGAGACCACTGCTGCCAATGAAGTCTTGGGCGTAGGAGATCTGCTGCCCTGCAAAGGTGGTGAGATTCGCGATGAATCCGCCTTCCAACCCACGCTACTAATCAAGACGATTGCGCCTACCGTCAACCGTGAAAAGGTAGAAGAGTTCTGTAAGGAGCATCTAGGCGAAGGTCCCGGTGGCTTCAAGTGGCTCAGCCTCAGCGATCCCAATCCCCTCAAAAAGTGTCACCGCATCGGCTGGGTCATACTCAACCCGAGTGACGAGCAACCCATGGCTATCGACGATCGTGGCGACGCACGCCAAGATGACAACGATGATGGAGCTGTCGAGGACAAGCCTGAAGTGCCCGAGGCCTCCCTGTCAACTGCGCAGAAGGCGCTTGAAGCCTTGAATGGAAAGACTGGTCAGTCGTCGCAGGAGATACCTACACGGCCCCCGTT